GCTCCACATAAATTGTTCAGACTAATGAGTCACGGAGAGATGTAGCCCGGGTCTCCCCCTCTGCAATGGCCGCCACCGCGGCCACCGTGGCCTCTCTCGATATTTTTGGCGCTGCCTGCTCCCTCGCACACCCGGCTTGGCTCGGGTGATTTATGAACGCCAGGAAAATTGAACAAAGCCGCGCGCCCATCCTGTGGTATCTCTGCAGCCTTTCCCAGTGTGAATCAGAACATTACCAACTGTCTGAGCATCCGTCCCACTTCATCACCAAAGCCAGAATGTGACCACATAAAATCCGAGCCTGAACTCACGTTTCCCCAGATGTGGCACGCTTCCCTGGACTGCAGAAACCCCCGCAGAAAAAAAGCCCCAAAGAACAAGGAAGGCCGCCAGCTCCGACTTCCCTGGCGAAGGGCTGACTTCTGCTTTCCGGATGGAGTTACAAGCCTTTGGAGATATATTTGAGAGTGTACGGTTTTAAAAGAATCAAATAGGAAGTTGGGGGTCTCACTTCTGAGAGATTCCTTCCTAGTGAGGTCTTGATGACTCCGATCCATTCCTGACGATCTGCATTAATTATTTAATGAATCACGTGACCCCAAAGATTTCAGTTTCGCCATCTCCCTCCAACAGGCTCTACACCTTTATCTGCAGTAACCAAGGTTTGTTTTTGGTTGGTTGGTTGGTTTTGCCTGTTATAGTTCTCTAGGCCCCCCCAAATAGGGGTCCAGGGCAAGCTACTGCCATCCATGCCTAAGGACTAGTCCCACAGAGAATACTTATTCTAGCCTATAAGCATTTTGCACAGAAAAACATGCACCCTTCTCCTAGCACCTCAAGCCCACTGGACAAGCCTTTCTGAGGTCCCTGACTAGGCCAGTTTGGTTTCTAGGATCTTCCAGGCCACTTTGCTGGCATATCGGGCAAGAACTCATCCACTTTCCAAGCTACCACACACCTGTGGTGGTGCACATCAAGTGTAAGTCTAGATACACACATCCATGCTGGACAAAATAGGCCTTCCCCAGGAAAGGTGCCTATGCAACCAGCCCTGTTTAAGATGAGACCTCATGCTGTAGTCATTCTACACACTCATCAACCTCAAAAGGAATCCTTCCTTTGCTCCAGTTACTCAATCTGTAAACTGAGAAAATTAAACCAAAATGGCCATCATTTCTTTAATCTGGGGCATTCTTTCAAAGTGCAAATCTATCTTTCAGTTCCTTGAATCAACCGCAGAGAGGATGGGGCTGTCTGCAGCGATAGGCGAGAATTTCCCTCCCTAGGTTTGAAGGCTTGAGAAGATGCTAACTCCAAACCAGGTGTTCCAGACTAGAAGATTTCACGGAAACCCAACAACCTTCCAGATACTATCAAAGAGAGAGAACAGACATTTCTTCCTCTTCTTACTGTACCCAACCCAGTCTATTTAAGAAAAGAAGCAGATTTATTTAAGAGTAGCCACTGGGAAGGGTAGACCTGTGTTGATCAATGCCAGACCCTAGCTATACATTCAAAGACCAAAGGAGTACCAGAGGGCCTATTACTTGCTAAGGGCCCACACATTCAAATAAGATATTTCATGATGCTTCTGTTTGCTACATTTCACCACCACCCCCGCCCCCACCCCCCAGCATTCCATTATAAAGAGTCACTGATCTGATCTGTTTCCATGTTAAAACTGCTGGAAGAAAAATAGTGATGAAAAAAGTAGGAAGAGTAGGGGAGTTTGTAAACTTAGAACAGGGGGCAGAAGGGAGAAGATGGTACCCATCACATGCATGGTAAACTGAGTGACAGAGAGAATGAGGACATCTTGGAACAATTGGGCATAGAGTCCAAGACACTACCAGAGTACAAGCCTCCCATCCCCCATGTGTATAAGTCATCTTCTCATGAGCTCTGTTCTGGGTGTTAAATACTCTACTATGTCTGTCACAGTTGAATTCACACTGTAATAAAACATCGGGTATATCACAGATTTCCGCAAAACTAGAGAAGAGAGCCTACAAAGTACCATTTTTCTTCAAGGGGGAGGATGATAAGTACTTAATTCAAACTGTGACTATTAAAATGTCTCCTACTCGATTTAGGTTGATTTCAGACATTGACACAATTTTTACCTCCAGAGTCTTATACAGTCTAGTCTGTGACTAAAGGACATAAGTGTGTCTGTGTGTGTGTGTTTGAGAGAAGAAGAAAAAAAGCATGTTCCATGGGTCATTTTGATAGGAGAATTATAGAGTTTACACAAAATACTGTCTTTATAGGTCAAGGGTCTGAGGGGCCAGTAGGGTTTGCTTAAAAAAAAAATTAATGAGATAGAAAATTTGCCCTCTCTGTGAACTCTTATGGTTGCCCTAGCAAAGGTCAGACATGCACGATTTTGGAGCACAAAGTGGGATTTTTCTGGGCTGTGATAAAAAGTCACAAGTCCTCTTAAAGGCCAAATCTGAAACAGGCAAAATACTTGGGGGGGGTGTCATAATTATTTCTATAATTTTGGATAACACTGATTTGCAAATTTCACCAATATATTAATAATCAACACAGTCCAGGCAAGAGTGCCATATTGTCCTAGAATATTGGGGGAGATATACCTCAATCCTGTCCTCTTTTCCCTGGAAAAACTGTAAGTGAAAGATACTCCCTTCTCCCCAAAACAACTGTTCCCAAAGAGAAGCTGAGAAGCTAATGAATGTCCCTATACCCTCTCCTCCCCACAAAGGAGAAATGTAAGCATTTACCTGAAATACCGATAATCTGCCATTTGAGGTTTTGCAGTTGGACACTCAATTTTCAGCGAGAATCTAGGCATTTCTGAGCAGACAGCCAAGATGTTGTGTCTTTGCCTGAGATCACATTATTTGCAAGAAGATCCCTTGCTCTTCCACAGACTTTTCCCAGAGAATGCCTTTCAGAATTGCTGTTGAATTACAAAGAAGTATTTATTGCATGAGGTGATTAATGATTCCTGGGAAAATTGCTATTTTCAGCGTGATTTAATTTCGTTTTACAAGTGCGTTAGTAGGGGGAGGGTTAAGAAGTTTCAGAAGCAGTTGCAGTGCTTCCAGAAATCTCTGGCACCCGTTTACACCTTATAAAATGCACTTGATGCCTGTTTTGGCCCAATTTAGGAAGGCCTATTCATACATATTTGTCCTGAGTTTCCTTGGGGAGGAATGGAGGTCCCTAAGAGACTGGAACCCATTACTTTTCTCTGTGCCTTGGTTTGTTCAGAGTCACCACAGGCAGGCAGCAGGGATGAGACGGAGACTGCATTGACCACTGTATAGGTATTGTGCCATTAACAGAAAAATAAGTTTAATAATTCCTGTTATTTCAGATAGTTGAGCATTCTCCCACCATCTCTGCAAAAAGACATGAATTCACAAGTGCACTCGTTCATAGTCAGGTGGTAGCCCTAATAGTCTAGGGTTACTGTGCTTTGACTTTCTGGGCCTCCTTGCAAAAAGCTTCCTTCACTACTCATTAAGTCTAAGTTAGTAAATAGATGTTAAAGCCATGGAGATTTCAGATGTAGGTTTTTATTTTCAACTTTTAAAACTTAAATTTTTTGGACTTACTAGAAAGATCCCAGAGTTTAGCTTCCTTCCAGGAGTCTTTCGGGGTGTATTTTGGGATGTTATGGCTCTTTCCCCAGAGGAAAATTTTTGGGGTTATACTAAAACTATTTATTTTATAAATTCATTCTTTTAATATGCGTGTGTGTGTGTGTAAGAGAAAGGGATGCCACAAAAATGCCCAAGCTGTAATAGTGAAGATAACTTTAAAAACAGCCAAGAAACAAAACACAAGCTCAAACCTTTGCACAAACTATTTTTTTATCTCCAGGGAAATAAACAGATTAAGTATGAAAGTGTGATTAATACTACTGAGACCACTTCTTTCCAAGTGTGCTTAGAGTTCAGAACAGCTGCAGAAACTCCTGGGCCCGCAGCACTGTGCCGTTTCACCTTTCATTGCGGAGAAGGACACGTTTCTATGCCTTACAGAGACTTGAAGTCTGAAAGCCTGGCCAAGTTTGGGAAGATGAGGAGCTTCTCTCAGCACTCAAGAGCCTTCTTGCTCTTTGGAACTTTTCCCACAGTGGGTCAAGCCTGACAAGAGTTCAGCTCAAGTTGAAGACACACACATACACATATTATGTGAGCAGAAGAGTTCAAGTGAACACAACTCAAGCCAACTACAAAGTTTTACATGGAAGGTCAACCATTTCAATCCACAGAAAATTTTTTTTTAAATGAAAGGGTTAGGAAACACAACTTTGGGTTTTAGATTTTTAATGTTTTGTGTTTTTTTCAAGCAGAATTTATTTTTAACAGATAGCTCTCTACATAGCCACATCACAATTTATACAGTTGCACATGTCTAAACGCACTTGTCTTACTCCTGAGATTTCACCCAGAATAAGACAATATCTCTCAAGAGTATTTTAAATAAATGCAAATAATAGAAACTAACACATACATTACACCTACCATCATGATCTACACAGTTTGAAAATTAAATAATCTTGTGAGGTCCACAATGCCTGTTCATTTATTCAGTTCAATACAAGCTTGTATGAGCTGCCTTAATGGAGGAGAAGGATCTAAGTAGGGAAAGGGTATGTTTTCTTCTGCTTGCAACAAGCATACATGTACATGTTCGCAGTCAGCATGGGCTGTCCAACTGACTTCAGTCATCTCAAGAGTACTGGGTGCCAAGGGGCCTTCTTAGGTATCCAAACCTGGCAGCCTGTTCAAGCCAGCAGATTGTTCCACCAGCCAGCATCTTAGCCAATTGTCTCTCTTGGATGTCCACCAACACATTTTTACTACGATGTCTTCTTCTATTCTGTTATCCTTTGCACCAAATTGAGTTTTGGTTTTGGTGTCTGTTATGATCCAGACAGGAAGGGGTAGAAGGGGAAAGGGACAGAAAAAGAGAGGAGAAACTCAGGTAAGGGGAAGAAAGTGGCCTCAAACTTTAGAGGATTATATGGAGGATGGAATGGGTGTGGAGTCTCCTGCGTGGAGATGGGGATGGGGATGGGGATGGGTGTGGGAGCTCTGGATTTGTGCTTTCCCAGAGGGGACAGCTGAGGCTGAAGACGAGTTGGAGGAACGCATCTTGGTGTTGGGCAGTTTGTGATCTTTTTTCCATTTCATCCTCCGATTCTGAAACCAGATCTTGACCTGGCGCTCCGACAAGCAGAGTGTGTGAGCGATCTCGATGCGGCGCCTTCGGGTCAGGTAGCGGTTAAAGTGGAATTCCTTCTCCAGCTCCAAGACCTGCTGCCGGGTGTAGGCAGTTCGAGAGCGCTTGGGCTCCCCTCCGTTATAACTGGGGTTAACTGAACACCCAGAACCCGGAGGCGAAGGCCAAAAAGGAAAGAGCAGAAGAGGAGAGGAAAAAGAGATGGAGAGAGAAAGTGGGGTGGGGAAGAGCAATTGGACATCATCATTATATAATAACCTGACACCAAGTTCACGCAAGATACATAAAACGGCAAAGAAAATGTTTCACAGGCTATTGACAACGGGAAACACCCGAGAGCCATAAAGAATGGTGCTGGGCATTGGGGCTGAAGAAAAGCTTCAAAGACACATGGCCCGAAGCCTCTGCCAGGGCAATTAAATTTATGGGGGCTATAATTACTGCCCTAACAGTTTGGCGTCTCGTAAATCTCCCGATAAAGGGACCTCGGTACAAAAGGGTTCTCACGTTGGGACCAGGCGGCTGAAGCGCACACACTCAGACTCCACTGTGGCCCAGGCCAGATGGGGGCTCCCTCCCGAGGTTCCTTTCCCCTCGGCCTCTCACCTCTGACACCCGCCCCGACCCTCGAACCCGGCCCGAGCCGCCCATCCTTCCCACTCCTCCCGGGCGGCGCACGTACCCGCGCTGACATGGATCTTCTTCATCCAGGGGTACACCACAGGCTCCTTGCCCTTCAGGCCTGGCGGACTCTTGTCCGCCAAGAGCAGCGGGCACGCGGGGGCGCTGCCCCCTGCCGGGACGCCCGGGTTGGCCGGGGCCGCCTCGCAATGGCGCTGGGGCAGCGGGGGCGCCGTGCGGGGGTGCTGGGTCGGAGCGGGCTGACGCCCCGACTGCAGGACGTGGCTGGCGTGCAGGTTGGGTGCCGGTCCCTTGGCTTGCGCCGGGGGTTGCTCGGGCTGTGGCGGCCGCCCGGGGCTGGCGCCGCCGCGGTACCCATAGGGGTAGGCGGTGTCGGCCGCCCCGTGTGCAGGGTAGAGCGAGGCCGCGGAGTAGGCGGGTTCGCGGGCGGCCCGCGGCGCGTAGTAGGAGGCGGGGGGCTCGAGGCCGCCGCCCGCGTGGGGGAGTTGGGGCTGCGGAGGCAGGTGCTGGGCCGCGGGCACTGGGGTCTGCTGGTAGCCAGGGCCCCCGCCTGGGCCGCCATCTCCACCGCCCGGACCGCCGGGCTGCGCGTACTCTTCGAAGGGAGGGAACTTGGGCTCGATGTAGTTGGAGTTTATCAAAAACGAGCTCATGGTCATTAATTTGTGAAGTGCAAAAATACTAATTTTTCTCGCGTTGTCGTTTTTCTGGGCTCGCCGAGGCCCCTCCCCCTCCGGCCTCGCTTCCCATCCCCCCTTTCCTCTGCGTCCTTCCCCTCCCCCCTGCTGTCAAGCACCCGCCCCTCCCCCAGCCGCCGTGGCTGCCGCCGCCAAAGTTCGCGCCGCTCCTCCCCCGCCCGTCTGCTCGCGCGCGCGCGCGCCACTCCACGGCCCTACGCGCGCCCCGCCTCTCACCCCACGTGGCCCGATCTAGCCAATGAGTGCACCGCGCGCGCGGACCCGGATCAGGAAGCGTGCTAGTGGGCGATAGATGCAGCTGTTTGTCCAGCTGGGGGCAGTGGGAGGGAGCAGTGGTATTGGTACCCTAGTACCCCAAATTCTGGTACCTTTAGGAATTCGAAGACCTCCTGGCGGCTAGTCTCTCAGAAAGCCCTATCCTGGCCTAAGACTTGGGGGAGCCTTACTTAGGACCTTCCGTGGCCGGACACTGACCTCGGGCCCAACCCATTATTGCTTGACGTCCTTAAGCATTCCAGGCCGGCTGGAGGACGAAAGGCGCCTGGAACAAGGGGACGTCCTGATTTTTATCCTGGGTCCGGGATAAAATGAATGAGATCGACAGACTGGTGTTCTCGACCACAGACCCCTTTCCTAACACCCTCCTCCCCAAGTCTGAGAGCTCCTGCACTGAGAAACGAACAGAAGCCCCAACCGGTGGGTTGAAAGAAAGAAATTGCCTTAGCATGTACAGCAGGCCATTTCAGTACAACCGGGTGGGAATATCTTATTCCTTTTTAAATAGACATTTTTTCCTTAAAATTTTTTCAACCGTATTAATAATACCTCATTTGATAGATGAGAGCTAAACACACTGGTATTTACGACATGCCAGTTTAAGAGAGAAGGTGGCCCAAGAGCAGGAAGCAAGGACTCAGAACCAAGCTTCAAAATCAACAACTTCCTATTTCAGAACAATTCTCCAAAATAACCTGAGGATAGACCGAATAGTATTTGGGCCTGGCTGCTGACAGATCTTTCACAGCTAGGAATTTTACATTTTCTGGTGGTTTCTCATGCTAGCGTTACATGTGCAGGACAGTCTGTAGTTTCTGAACGGCTTAAAATTAGCATATTAACGATATTAGTAGCTCTGGAAAGGGGAGAGAGGGGAATGTTGACTATGACCTGATAATTGAAATTTTATGGGAAAACTAATTATGCTATTATTAACAAATAAATTACTTTTTAATTCCACCTAATATTGATCTTTGAAGTAAATAATGATGCTTTATTCGTTCTGTGTACTTTCTTTTCTGAGCCACAGACACCTAGCTCTGCTTTCCAGCTAGAATAAAGTAGTGCAAACTCATAATCACCGTTCTAAAAATACTTCCATGTGGGCATGCAAAGAAATGGACATTTCCGCTTTTGTACTCCTTTTGATTTTTTAAAAAGCAGTATAAACAGCTTCCTCACAATTGAGTCTGGAACATAGACAAGGAAAGATATAGCTCAAGCCTGGAGTCACTTCAAAAGGAATGTCAGTCCTATCTTCATTTATATCAGTTATTCATATGAGTTACTAAATGCTGGAATATATCCTTTTGATGGATAGTTATTTAATGTTTAGGCACATAAAGCCTATTATACAGACTAATCTTTTAACTAAGAAAAGAGATTAAAAAAGGGATTAAGTTAGCTTTCTAACTGGAATCACCCTAAAGAGGCACAAAGAGGTTTTGCACATACTGTGTGTGTGTGTGTGTGTGTGTGTGTGTAGAGTACTGTTCATTGATGTAACCTGAAAAAAAAAAGTTTTGTTGTTTTTAATGAAATCTGAACTGTAGATGGAAATCAATGGCGAGCATAATCTTTAGACATCTTCTCTGGTTTCAGAAAAAATTCTAGCCTATGATAAAGCTGACTAAACCAGTATCTCTCCACAAAAAAAAAGTCATGCATGTAGCATGTAGTAAGCAATATAAATAATAGGTCTATATATTATCAAATATATTGTTATAGGATAGCTATTACAAAACTGGACTGTAAGCACCAGGGAGAAAAAAATTGTGACAAGAAAATTGTGCTCTTCTTAAGTCATCAGCTTTGAATACTAGGGCTTAACCATGTCTGTTTAATATTATTTACAGACACTAAGATACAAAATTCATGTTGTTTAACCTCAGAACCTTCTACCAAGTTTCTATATTTAAGTATTGATGAGTAACTGGCACTGTTTTGTGTATGGCTAACCTAAACGAGTTAACTGTGCCTGTTTTCATGTGGTTCTATTACTTTAGGAAGATGGGCTTACACAGAATCCCCTAAGGCCTGTAACTTGTCTTTGTGGTTCCTATCATAAACACAAACGGAGCCAGGACCACCAAGTGTTATCTTACACACCGACATTTTGACATTTTACTGCAAGATTTATGGCTGTAATAAACAATCTCAGTACCTTTTCTCATCCTTCCAGTCTCCCTTTGCAAGCCCAAAGCATCATGCCACTGAATCAAATAACCTTCTGAAAAACACCTCTTGTATTAACACGAGAACGAAGACACCAAAACAATGCTAGAAAGAAACTAAACCAATTAATAAATGAGCTGAAGTTTACCAGCAGCATCTTGAGAAAAGATGGGATGCCCTGAAATAGAACAGAGTGTGCTGATTGCACACCAACTGGCTCCAGTCCAAAGCGAGGTGAAAACGTTATCCTTTCCTTGGGAAAGTAGTTAGCACATTTGCTCATTTCCACGTGCAGGGATAACATATATTCCGAACAAAAGCTTTCTTAAAATCTCATTAGATGAAATAACTTTTCATCATTTCCTCCCATCCCAGATGGAGAAGGAGAAAGAAGGGAGTTGGAGGGAGAGGGAGGGCGATAGGGAGGCAGCGGTTTGGTTTGCAGCCTGGTTTGAATCTGATTTGAATCATTTTGAATATGTTTGGAACAGCCTGCTCTCTTGAATGCAACGCTGTCCTGAGTTTCAAAGTGACCGAACAGTGACACCGTGTGCATTTTGTTTCTTATTAATCTTATGCATTGACAGTCTTTGTTAAATCACAAGGCTCGCCCTTCACCAGCCGACATTTTCATATTTGTTAGACGCGCTGACCTGAAGTTCACCTCGGCCTTGGACTTTGCGCTTCTAAAAGGTCTATACAGTGTCTTTTAGAGAGCAGGGTACTTTGCCCAGGTCACTCCTTCTCAGGGAAAACCAAGGGGGGGAAGCAAAGGAAATGTAAACGTTATGGAATGTATTGACTGTATTTGTCCTTTGTTCTTGAGAGAGTCCCCAGACTTCTCTATCTAGAGCATGTCTCTGAGCAGACATGGCAATGCTGAATTTCAAAATGCCCGATGATACACTGGAGGGCGGCTTCCACCTACACCAGACATATGGTTTTAGAGATCAGCACCCCATTAGTCATTTGACCAATTCATTGTTTGGAGCAATTTCCTTCTAGTAGTTTAAAATAACAAACACACCCTGTGCATAACCTTGATATTTACATTATTATTATTATTATTATTATTATTATTATTATTATTATACTAGCATTGTATGAGAGGCCTGAAAACCCAGAATTCTCAGAATAAAGAAGTGAGCAATAATTTGCACATTTTCTCTTACCACTTAAAGACTACCTAAGAGATGTCTCTGATTATTGGAACTGATGGTTTCTAGGATATGTCCTTTGTTTTTTAACCTAAAATACAATAGAGATTTTTCTGAAAGATGCACTGTTGTCTTGGGGAGGTTTCCATTTTTCTGAGTTCACTAGCTCAGATGTGGTGAAGTAGTCCTTGCTGTAACAGTGATCACCACGGTTGGGACTTTCCCCTTATTTTCATTTGGCAAACTCTTATTTGGTTTCAAGCTTTTGGCCAGAGGGAAACCTTACACATCACACAGTGGAAGCAACCTAATTACTTTCATGGAGGTGGTGGTTAGGAAATATTTACTTTAACTACTGAACATAACCAAGAACCTTAAATCCAGTCAACCAGAATGCATTGAGATGATCTTAAATATCCCTGCAAGCACCTTCATTTATCAGCAGAAGTAGCTTGTCTATACTTTTTAAAACCTAAAATAAAATGTCATCTTTCTAATCTCTTTCCCTAGACTGATCATTTGAGAGTCATTATATAGAAAATGAAAATATGTCCCCTACAAAATAAACTCTAATGGTAGCAGTATTTTAGCTAGCCTGTATGAATGAAAAAACAAAATATTGAAATACTGTTTAACTCTCCATTTACAGCTTACACAAGACATGGTTCTAGCCGGCTTCCCTAATATACTATTGCCTTTCTTTTCAGCTCTCCCAAGCTTCTTCCTTAGACTCCTCATCTCCCCTTAGCTTTTATTCCAACTGTATTTTTAAAAAATAGTTTCTTGAGAACAGATGTCTGCCATGATGATCTTACAAAGTGACCTGACATTGGTAGATTTTATTTACCACCTCAAATGACATACTCTCTGTAGTTCAGTTATTCACTTAGAGAATGCAGTGTTTCTTTCACATTCCATTGAGGTTTAACAATCAAGATAACAGAAAGCCTTCCAACAACAGGGACATTTTCATGGTATAAATAGACATTTTCTCACTGGATGAGAGGAAGGGCAATTCTGTCCCTTTTGGAAAGGTTTCCTTTGGCCCCCTCCATATTCCAGTTCTGAGAAACCTTTGCCTTCATTCAGTGGATTATAGTTCTAGAGAAAGCTTTTGTAAACTGGGGGATGGGGTAGGGGGAATTGAAAGAAGTCTCTGTATTTGCCAATGTTCTCACATACTTTAAAGTCATCTATGTATTTGAGAGGAGAGGGAGGTAAAACCTGGTTGATCAAAATCCCAGTTTTAAAATAAAGGTGTCTTGCTCTCTTCCTTTGCCTTTGATAATGGAACACTGGGAACTTTGAACACTGAGAATTTGAACCTTTTTTTTTAAGGGTTCACAATTATGT